TTGCACTTTGTGTTATCTTCTAATTTTACACTCAGATTTTCTTGTTCTTTAATTGTTTTATCATTATGAATATTGGAATTAGTAAGATCTGCTGGTTGATCATTAATTTGATCAACTTTAATTTTATTACATTCGACATTATGATCTGTATCACATTTATTAGATTTAAAACTGATTTGTGGTTGATTTTTATTACATACAACATTTTCTGTCATACTATTTATATGAGATTCTTGAGGTTTACTATAGCTGTCATGTGATGTTGAACYACAAACATTTGACGAATTATGTAGTATACTAGATTCAGATTTTGTGAAAACCTCATTAGCCTTACGTTCTGTGATCTGAACTTCTTCTTCATGGACCTTAATGTTAAAAACTGATTGTTTTGRAGYATTTTTACTAGAAATTTCATCTAAATTTTGAGATTTTATGGTATGTGATGTAGTGGTATCAACTTCGTTTAAAGTTTCATTTTTATTTGAATCTTCTTCAGTTTTTTTATTTTTTGATTCATCATCAGTTTTTTTGTTTTTATTAAGTTCTTCAATGGTTTTTTTATTTTTTTTCCATTCTTCAATATTTATGTTTGATGAAACCACTTCTAATTTGTTTTCACCAATGCTAGAATCTTCTCCATTAGAAACATTATTAAAACATGGAACAGAATCATCCCCAAAAAAAAATCCCGTTTTAGGAACAGAAACAATTTCTTCTTTGACTTCTTTAGATGAACTACAAATTGCTTCAATACTCCATAATTTTGGTTTTTTTACATCTTCATTTTTTGATGTATCATTCTGAGTATTTGTTTCATCAGGATTGCCAGTATCACATTCCTGCCCAGAACCTTCACCTTTTACAATCATCACAGATTCTTCAATCTCCTCTCCAACAATAGGAATATTACTTTTATTAGATGAATTGTCATCCTCATCAAATTTTCTTTTAAAATTAATAGATTCAAGAGGGTTCTCTTTTGGATCAAATTCATTTGTTTCTAATTTAATATTAGTTGATTTTGTAGTACAACTTTCTTTTTTGTTATCTTCAATAATAGGAGCTATATTTGCTAACATGAGAGATTGTTTTTCTGAATTATGATTTGAGGATAATCCATCTTCACCATCTGAACCAGTTTCAATACTATTACTATCTTCAATATCATCTAAAGTGTTGTCTTTCGCTCCAGATAATTCATTTATAAGATTAACTAAAGTGCTTCGGTCTCTGAAAGATAAAAAATAAGTATATAATATGAATAAATACATAAATTAAAAGTTGTTACAAAATTTACTTTGCCACGATTTCCCAAGTATCTTCATCAATGTCTTCTTTGTAAACTCGAAGATTACATGTTCGGTCAAATTGGACCCAATAAGCTACCCCTGATCTATCCCAACCTAGTGGTTGAGAATGAAGCGTGGAGCTCTCTAATTTATTAACTTCAGACTTAAATTTAACATTACTGTCAAATTGTGCTTCAAAAAGAGTCTTGAAAAAAAAGAAAATTATATTAATATTACCATTGTATAAAGGTTAGGTACTATATTACTTTTAAAATCCTTAATTTCAGTTTTACAGAAATTCCTTTGTATCCATAGTGTTCTAATTCCCAAAATTCTGGCACAGAATATTCTTGACAAAATTTTAAAACTGCTCTTTCCCATTTATCAGCTTGTACACTTTTTTTAACTTTGCGCAATAACTTTACATGTAAATCAACTAATGCATCTGGAACTAAAAAAAAAATATTATGTGCCATTAAGTAATTTAATTTTAAAACAGTATACTAAAATCTATTACCACATCTATTAATTAATTTAAATTAATTTAATTTAATATTAATAATACAAATTGGAACTAAATTAAAATGAAATAATTTTTATTTGACCCAGAGCTTCTACAGTAACTTAGATTATTGACTAATCTTTATCTGAATATTTGTTTTTTTTTTCTTTAATAACTTGAATAAGTACCCATATTAATTTGTACAATTACGATTTCTGTTGGTGCTCTGTGTTGAGTCTCAAAAACAAAAAAAAAATGAACAGATTAAACAGCATTTAAATAAAAACGCAATCTAATTCACTAACTTTATAATACCTTTTAYTTCTACATATAAAATACCTATCCATTATTAGAAATACTTTATAATTTGTGAATCAACTTTGAAATAAAAAATTATTTTGTCATATTAATTTACCTGTGATTTTAATACATTATTTTGTTTCTAAAAACATGAGAATATTTTTATAAACGAAATTAATAATAAATATCCATAAAAATTAACAAAATATTATCCAATATAAATATTAATAATATAAATTGTACAAGCCAACACATAAATATATAGGTAAATAAATGTACTTAAAAAGGCTACTTGATATTATCATCATAAAGTTTTTGTCACAATTTATAGTGTAAATATCAATATTTGTWCACATAAAAAATGTGTGTATTGTGTCAGAGGCCTAGACAGAAGGGTTAAAGAGATTTCAGTCCCTAATACACAGCATTTATTTTAGCCTATATTATACTAAAAAATGATTTTACTAAAACCTTATGACCCCCTTTTACAAAATTTCTGGCTAAGCAACTGTATTATGTATATAATATATT